GACTTCACAAAAGATGGAAAGATGAGAGTATAAGTCCCAATTCCATCATTCTCATAACTGCCAATGGGCCCTACGAGAATGGTTGAGAATAGTAGCAGATGTAACGATTAATAGGAAAGTTGATTGCGTCATGAAAATCTGGGAAATTGGACCAAGTGTAATTCAAGAAAAACTGACGAGGAACAGATAGAAAGATCGATGAAGAGAGAGACTATGTGACGGAGATCAATATGGGTGGGAGCAACCAAATTTTAAACACATGAAGACGATGAGATGTGAGAAGAGTCTCCAATGTAATCCCACGAACACAGTGGGGCCTCCTCAGAGATGATGATGAGCATTATAATCACCTAACAAAAAGCTGGGCAGTGGAGGTGAGTGATCAAGCATGCAACACCCGGAGATACAGAATGCACTGGTAGGGAAGAGGACACAGAGAGCAAAACTGGACGGAGCTGTTAAGGCTTTTAAACTAGGAATTGATAGTGGTATGGGTTTTGGCGGATAATAGAGTGTAGTTAATATTACGAGTTCTAGGGGAACTAAGTAAAAGCTGAATGAGGTGGATTTTGTAAAGCCCATGGCAACTAGGCGACAAGAACAGTAATAGGTTTAGTGAAAAAAAACGGGATATGAGCAGAAGGGTAAAGAGAAAGGGAGGGTCTTTAAAATTATATTATTGCTATTAGGCCCATAGTGACTTGGAATTAGTTGGAATGAGTTGAGGTTAGTTGCCTAGGTGCAGTGTAACATTGTTGTATTGCAATCACTGAGTCATGGTTTAATTCCAAAAGTCGGGACCATGCTTTCGAATGACCACATTCAGGGTTTTAATTTGTTCCGAGTAGATAGAAATATCAGTAAGGGAGGTGGGGTGGGTGGCATGTATGTCCAGAGATTCACTTGAAAACTATGATAAAAACGGGTATTAAGTTGAAGTAACACATACAGAGTCTGTCGGATTTAGGAATTTTTCAGAGGGACCATAAAAAAAGATTCTAGGAGTGATATACAGTCCCCCAAACTTAGATAGGGACCCAACGGGAAATTACTGTGGAGAGGATAAATTGTTTAAGGCCTGAAGGCACAGATAATGTAGTCAGTATTCTTAGGGGGACTTTAGTCACATTGATTGACATTTCTTGACTGGAATTTAGGAATCAATTGACTTCTTAGAAGTAGTTCGGAATGTTTTTTGAAACTGTTAGTGACAGAACTACAAGGGGAAATATACATTCTTGATTTGGTTCTGACAAACAACGGAAATCCCTTCTCGTCTGTACAGTCTCCGTTAGAAACTTAATGAGAAACTCGGCAAAGTCGATGACAAAGAAATTACCTTTAGTATAGAATGGAGTGTGATAGTTAGTTAGGGACAACTCGGTAACAGTTCCAGATTTCATTAGCAGATCACAATTTGGCTTACGCAGGGATTACAATGGGGTAATGAAAGAGAGCTATCAACAAGGCTTTCTTGACACCATACATGCTGCTTCAAAGTAAGGTATATCCCGTTTAAAGAAATTAGATCAAATAGAAATAACCCCAAATGGGTGAATTAAAGGCTGAAATATCTACTAGGCGCATAAGAAAGGAATTTATAGGGGCGTATCAAAAGAGGTAAGGGTTTTTTATGAAATCAGTATATTGACATTAAGAAGGACGTTATAAAAGGATAAGAAAAGCTAAAAGGGAATGATGAATTAAAGTTCTAGGGATTCGAAAACTAACCCAGAAAGGAACGTTATTTCTCAGGGTCTATAGAACAAAAAGTTAGAAATAAGATAGATCCCCTTAAAAATAACTATGGCATCTTACTGACAAAGCGAATGAATGTGCTGATTTTAAAATAATTATTTTCTCTCAGTTTTTCACAGGAAAGAAACTAACAATATTCCACGTAATTAATTTTTTATAGTGGGCTTAGGAAGAAGATAATTATGTACATCACAGTCCACTAGTGTAAATGGTTGTGAAGCAGATAGGCCAGACTGAAGCAAAAATAAGTCACCGGGTCCTGATGAGGTTTTGTTCAGGGTCCTTAAGGAATACAAAATGGAAATCTGTGAACCTTTATCTATATTTTTATTTAGCTCCACAAACAGGTGTTGTGTCTGATATGTGAAGATGGCTAAATGTAATTCCTATTTTTGACGCAGGAGAACAAGTCCGTTACCATCATATTTACCGCCCAATAAGCCTGACACTCTTTGTTGGGCAATATTACTAGAGGTCAAATTATAGCGAGATTTATAAAAGACATCTCGATAAGCATAGCCTTGATTAATGTTTACTCAGCATGGATACATGAGTGGGCCGTTCTTGTCTAACTAATTTATTAAACTTTTTCAGTTAGCTTTTGAGGCTGTTGTTCACAATAAAGAATTTGATATTATTTACTTAGATTTTAGTAAGGCTTGATACAGTTCCGCACCAAAGGACCGTTAAAGAAGTGGAGCTCATGGCATTGGGGAAAAGTGCTCTCATGGATTGAGTCTGGATCACAGACAGGAAGCAGAGCTGTCCATTAAATGGGGTTAAAATCGGAGTTGGGCTCTGTAACAAGTGGCATTCCCATGGGGTAATAGGTCTAGGGCCGTTGTTGTTTATAATATTATATCAATGATCTTAATGAGGGAAATTACTAGTGAAAAGAGCAAATCGCTGGGATGTACACAAAGATAGGTAGGATTAATTGATTCAAAAAACATAGATATCAGGGAACTTAAAGAGGATTTAGTCCAAATTCTAGGAACCTGCGTCATGCAAAAGGTGGCGACAGAGCAGTTCAATGTAGTATAATATGTCAAGATTTCTGATGCTTGGAGTCGTCACTTATACTAATAAGTTAAATATTGCAATCTTAACCATACAGTTTGTGAAAAGGTCTTGGGGGTTATGGTGAGCTGCGCAACCCTTAAGCCTAGATAGCATGCCTAACGTATGTAATAAGGCTAACTGATTACGGTGTTTTATATCCCACCCCTATCAAGAATGGAAGCAACGAGTTTCAACGTTATATTACAAGCTTTATATATCTTTAGTAAAGGCCTCACCTTGATTATGCAGCCCAGTTCTGGTCTCCATATGACAGAATAGACATAAATTCGTTAGAAAACATTCAGGTTTGGGGGAATGGGGAAGAGGGTGAATGGCGAGAAGCGAAGGGGGAATGGGAGGGGGAGAATGGGAGCGGAGGATCGGGAATGGCGGAGGAGGCTGGAGAGGAACTAGGAGAGGGGGGAAGGGGAAGGGGAATTGGAGGACGACCGGAGGGGGAGGGCGGGAGGAGGGGGGAGAATGGAATGAGAGGGGAGGGGGGGAGATCGAGGAGGGAGGAGAGATGGTGAGGAGGATGGGAGAGGGGGGAATGAGGAGGGGGGGGGGGGAAGAAAGGGGGGGAGGGGGGGAGAGAAGGAAGAGGGGGGGAATGAATGGGGGGGGGCCCGGGAAGGGCGGAGGGGAGAATGGGGAGGGATGAGGGAAAGGAGCGGGAAATGAAGGGGGAATGGGAGCAGAGGGGGGGGAGGGGGAGGGGGGGGAGGGAAGGAGGAGGGAGGGGGCGGGAGGACGGGGGGGGGGAGGGAAGAGGACGCGGGGGGGAAAGGGGTGAGAAATGTCGAAGAGGGGGGGGAGGGGAAGGGGGGGGAAGGGAGGGAGGGGGAGAGAGACCGAGGGGGGGAGGAGAAAGGTGGGATGGATCGGGATGGTGTGTGGGGGGGGGAAAGAATGAATGGAGCGGGAGTGGAAGGAATGGGAAGGGGAGAGATGAATTGGAAGGTGAGGAATGGGGGGGGGGAGAGAAAGGGGGGATGAGCCGGGGAGAAAATGGGAGCAGAAGAATGGAGGGGTGCGGGATGGTGGGATTGTAGGGAGGGAGGGGAGAGGGGGAGAGGAGGGAGAATGAAATGACGCAGGGGGAATGAATGAGAATGAAGCGGAATGGGAGGGGGCGACCGCGGAGAGAAGGGCGAGATGGGAAGAAGGGAGAAAGGGGCGAGAGGGGGGGAAAGTGGAATGGGAGGAATTGGGAATGGAAGAGGGAAGGGGGGAGCGGGGGGGAGAGGGGGGAGAGAGGAGGAAGAGGGGGGACTGGAGGGGGAGAGAGGGGAATGAGAGGAGACGCGGAACGGGGGGGACGGAGGGGCGGAAGAGGATGAAGGAGAGGGTGGGGATGGGAATGGGGATTGGAGGGGAGGGAGAGGGGAAAGGGAGAATGAATGGAAGAGGCTGGGGAGGAAGGTGAGGGGAGGGGGGAGGGGAGGAGGGGGAGAAGGGAGGGGACGGGGTCGGGGGGAGGAGAATGGAGGAGGAGGGGGTGAGAGCACGATCGGGAAGAAGGAGGGCGGGGGGGGAGGGGGTGGGGGAGAGGGGAGGGGGAATGAGAAGGGGGGGGAGAGAGGAGGGGAGGCGGGGGGGATGAGAGGGGAGGGAATGCGGGGGGGGGGGGGGGGGGAGGGGGGAGGAATGGGAGAGGAGGAAGGAATGAGGGAGGAATGGGGAGGTGATTGGCTGGGGGGGGGGGCGAGGAGAGAGGAGGAGAGAGGCGGAGGAGGGGGGGGGACGAGGGGGAGGGGGGAGAATGGAGGGAGGAATGGGGGGAGGGGGGATGGGGGATGGAGGAGGGAGGGGGGAGAGGGGGAAGGACGAAGGGGGGGGGAGGGGAGATATGAGGGCGGGGAGGGATGGAGAAGAGAGTAGAGGGAGGAATGGGGGAAAGGGGGGGGAATGGGGGAGAGGCGGGGGGAGGAGGGGGAAAGAGAGAGAGGGATTGGAGACGGAGAGGGCGTAGGATACGACGATGGGGGGGGCCACCCCCGAAGGAGAGGGGTGAGGGGGGATGGGAATGAGAAGGAGTGGAAGGATAATGATGGGCCGCGGGAGGTAGGGGGGAGGAGAGGATGGGTGGGAGAGGATGCGAGGAGGAACGCGGGGGAAGAGCGGGGGAAGGGAAGGGGAGGGGGAGAGGAGGAATGAGGAGGGGGAGGAATGGAGGGGAGGGGGGGGGGTGGGTGGGGGGGGGGAGGGGGGAGGGTAGGGGGGAGGTGAAAAGGGAAGGGAAGGCGGGTGGGGGCGAATGGGGAGGGAATGGACGAGGGAGAGAGGAATGACGAATGAATGAGGGGGAGGAGAAGTCGCGGGGGGGAGGGGACGGGAGGGAAGGGGGAGGAATGAGAGGGGGGGGGAAATGAGGAGGAGCCGGGGAAGGGGGGGGGAGGAAAGAATGGGAGAGGTGGAGGGGACGAGAGGAGGGAAGGAGATGGAATGACGGAAGAATGGGGGGAGGGAGGTGGAATGGAGTGGGGGGGACGATTGAGAAATGGGAGGGGGAGGGGGGAGAGGGGGGAGAGGGGGGGAGGTGGGGCGGGAGAGGAGGCGGGAGAGGGTGAAGAGAGGAATGGAGAAGAAGGGGGGAATTGAGAAGGTATGAGAGAGGGGAGGGGGGAGGAATGGAGGGGGGAATAGGGGGTATGGGGGGTGGGGGGGAGGGGGAGGGGGGGGGAAAGGGAAGGAGGGGAGGGAAGGTGGGGGGGGGAGGGAGAGGGTGGAGAGAATCGTCGAGGGAGAGAGAGGAGGGGGAAGGGGGGAGCGTGGAATGGGGACGAGGGGGAGGGAAATTTGATCGGGGGGAAGCGGATGACGGGATGGAGGGAGGACTGGGGGGAGAGGAGGGGGGGGGCGGTGGGGAGGGGGGCAGAGGAGAGGAGAAGAATGGTAAAGAAGCAGGGGAGGGGAGGAGGGAGGGGGGGGGGGGGAGAGGGGGAGGGGGGGGAGGAGAGCGAAGGAGGACGGTGGGGGAAATGGGGAGAGAAGAAGGGGAGGAGAGGGGAGAGCGAGGGGGAGGGGGCATGGAAGGAGGGAGAAGGGGGCGGGGGGAGAGGAATGAGGGGGAACGAAGTGGTGGGGCGGGGTGGAGAATGGGGGGGGGGGGGCTATGGGGGGGAAGGAGAGAGAGACAGACGAGAGAGCGGGGGGAGGATGGGGGAGAGGGGGGTGGGGAGGGGGATAGAAGACGGAATGGGGTAGGAATGACGAGGCCGGAGAAGACGAATAATGTGGGGAGGGGAGGAAGGGGGGGGATTGGACAGGAGGGGAGAGAGGGGATAACGGGGGGGGAGCGGAATGAGAAGGGGGAGGAGGAGGAGAAAGGGGGGTGATTGTGGAAGGGGAGAACAGGGAGGAGAGGGGGGGAGAGAGGAGGGAGGAAGAGATAACGAGTCGCGAGGGGAATGAAGCTCCATAGAGAGGGGGGGGATTGAATGGAGGGGGAAGGGGGTAATGGAATGAGGAATGGGACAGGAGAATGGTAGGGAGGAGATGGGGAGAGGAAGGAGGGGAGGAGAAGAGTAGAATGGAGGGATGGAGATAGGAGGGGACTGGACTGAACACGGGGGGAAGAGACAGGGGGGGGGAGGGGAGGGAATGGGGAGAAGCGATGGGGAAGTGGGAAGGGTGGAATGGGAGGGCAGCGACATGAGGAAAGGGGAATGAAGAATGGGGATTGGGGGGAGGGGAGGAGAAATGGAAGGGGGGAGAGGAATGAGGAGGGAAGGAAGGGGAAGGAGAGGGAATGTGGGGAGGGGGAGGAGGTCGACCGGAGAGGGTAAGCGGAGGGGGAGGGGGAGGGGGGGGACCCGGAAGGAGGGGGATATGGGTCGGAGGGAGGGGGGGTGAGGGAGGAGGGAAGGGGGGGGGAGAAGGGAGGGAAGGGGGGGAGGGGGGGGAGGGAGAGGGGGTGAATGGAGGGATGAAAGGGGAGGGAGGGGAAGAGGGGAGGAGGAGGGGGGAAGGATGAAAGGAGGGAATGGGGAGACGAAGCGAGAGGAATGGGGGAGAGGGGAGAGGGGAGAGGGGGAGGACGGGGGGGGGGAATGAGGAGGGAAGGGGAGGGATGGGGGAGGGATGAGGATGGAGGGGGGGGGGGACAGAGTATGGAGAGGAGGGAGGAGGGGGAGGGGGGGGGAGTGGAAGGGGGGGGGAGGGGGAGAAGAGGGGAAGGGGAGAAGAGATAGAATGAGAGGGAGGAGAAATGGGAGAGGGGGGGGAAGGGGGAGAGGGAAGGGGCGGAGGGAGAGGGAAGGGGAGGGAGGGGAATGAGGATGGGGGGGGGAATGAATGGGAGGAGGAGGGCGAATGATGGGCGAGAAGGGAGTTGGAGGGGTGGGAAGGGGGGATGGAGAGAATGGGGGTGGGAGAGGGGAATCGGGGGGGGACGAGGGGGGGTGGGAGGGGAGGGAGGAGATGGGGAAGGAAGCGGAAGAATGGGAATGGGGATATGGAAGACTGGGGGGTGAGGGAAGGGGAAGGAAGGAAAGGATGGGGGGACGTGGAGAGAGGGGGAAGGAGGGAGGTGAGGGGAGGGGGGGGGAGGGGGGGGGGAAGGAGAGGGAGTATGACCGGGGGAATGAGGGGGGGGGGGGAGGAAAGGGAGGAGACGGGGAGAGAGGAGGGGAGATGAGAGATATGGGAGGGGAGAGGAACGGGAAGACGGGGAGAGAGGGTGACAGGGGGGAGGAATGAGAAGAGGGAAGAGGGGGGAAGGGGGAGGGAGAGAAGAAGGGGGGGGGGGGGGGGGAGGGCGGGGGGGGAGGAGAGGGGGAGGGGGAGGAGAGGGGGGCGGGGGGGGGGGGGGAGGGGGAATGGAAGGCGGAGGGGAGGGGATGGGAGAGAGTGGGGGGGGGAGGGGAGGGGAGACGGGGAGGGGGGGGGGACGGGGGGAGAAGAGGGGCGGAGATGATTGGAGGGGAGAGAGAGTGGAGGATGGGGAGAGGGGAAGTAGGAGGGAGGGGGGAGGAGAGGGGAAGGGGGAGAGGAGAGGGTGGGGGAATGGAGAATAATGAGGATGGAATGATGAGGGAGAGGGAAGGGGGAGGGGGGGGGAGAGAGAGAGGGGGGGAGGGAGAGGAGGGAATGTGGAGGATGGGGGGGGAAGAAAGAGAGGAGGGGGAGAAACGGGGGGAGGAGGGAGGGATGGGGAGGGGAATGGGGGAATGGAAGGTGAGAGTGGGGGGTGGGGGGGGGAGAGGGGGGGAGGAGACAGTAGGGGAGAGATATGAATGAGGGAGGAATGGATTGGAGGCGGGGGGGGGAGGAGGAAGGGTGGAGGAGACGGGGGAGGGACTGGAGAGAAGGATGGGGGGGGGGTGGGAGGGGGGGATGAGGATTGGGGGAGGAGGCGGGGGCGGAGGGCGGGGGGAGGGGGGAGAGGGGTAATGAGAAAGGGGAGAGAGGAGGGAAGGACGGAGTGGGGAGTGGGAGGAGGAGAGGAGGGGGGGGGATGAACGAGAGAGGGAGGAATGACTAAATTAATACATAGTATTAGAAATCTTCCTTATAAAAGAAAGATTGAAGACCTTAAATTACATTTACTTGTTAAACGACGAATGTGGGGAGACATGATCGTTTTGTATAAGTGGAAGATGGGTATTAATAAAGGTGATATAGTAAGGTCTTGAGGATATCTCTTCAAGCGAGAATGCACGTTATGGATTCAAATTAGACAAGGTTAGATTTAGAAAGGATATAGGAAAGTATTGGTTTGGAAATATGTAGTTGATGAGTGGTACAGTCTACCCCTAGTTGGGTTATTGAGGCTAAAAAGATTGGGTAGTTTCAAATTTAGGTTGGATAAATGCCTCGAATTTGACGGGTTGAGATTGGGTTGGGGCTTGCATTTAATGAGTGGATGGGTTATACAGAGCTTATTTCTTGGGTGACACTGAAAATTGGATTTGGGCAATTGTTTTGTTAGTGGGAATGGATTGTAAGGGCCTGCCTAGTATGGGCCAGCAAGCCTTCTACAGTGGTTCTCCTTTCTTATGTTATGTTAACTGTGTACCACCTGTGCAAAAAATACGAGCTGGAGTTATAATGCAGCGAGAACGGAGATTGGTTTGAAACGGTAAACCAAGCCATGCAAGAAGTGCACTTCTCATTAAATGTTTCGTGAGGAAAGGATCAGGGAGAACACACCAGCACATTGCCCAAAACGGATGGATAATCCACTGAACGAACTTCAGCTCTTGCAACTGGACATATACTGGGGAATAAACTGGGAGCTTCAACACCTGGATGCTCTCTCAATTACCCTGAAGATTCCCTTGTAAAGTCATTTTTTCACAAAGATAGTATGCCACAATGAGGATGAGTGATAAAATCTAAGGCTAGTAGGTTCAGTGAAGTCAATATGTAGATGCAATGGAAAGTATGTAAGCAAAGAGGAATCAGAATGCTGTAGAGGAAAACAATGCTGGAATAGTTGTGAAAAATATGAATTGGCACAAGGAGGCACACTGGTGTCCATGGAGGGTTTCATGTCCACAATATAGTCGGAAATCATGCCATACCCTACCCTTAACGTCAGTAAACAGTACTCTGGGATAGCAACCTCACATCTACCGAGCCACCCAAGTTGTTACTTGGTACAAGAATAATATTTGTCTGATGACAAACATAAATTACCATATGGTGGTTTGTTTCTGGTCTTCTACTTATACACATTAAAAGCATTGAGCATGAAAATGCCTACAAGATGAAAGAAGTTTTATGTACCACTTATAACTCTTGCGAACACAATCAGCAAACCCAATTTGCTTGTCACATTTGTCCACTGAGCGCATATTGAGGGTGTAGTCCATCACAGCTACAGGTTTTAGAATGAGTTCATTGGTCTCTCTATGCTGCCTGCCAGTGTGTGTCATTTCATTTGGGTGAACTGATGATAACAGTGTAACATCTCGTTCGTCATGCCACTTAAATGCCATGATGTTATTGGCAGCAAATGCCTGCACCTCACATCTACGAGTGACTGCATCGAAACCATACCCCCGGCTGGGATTGAACCTGGGCATATGTTTACGATTTGCACACACTGTGCCACACTCGCTAAAATTTACTGAGTGAGGGGCTTGTGTACCAGTTATCGGTATATAATATATTGTTCTAACCACATCACCAGAGATACCCAATAACTTCCTGGTATCTTGCAATGTATTAATTCCAGTGCACACAATAATATCCAATACAAGACCACTGTAGCAATCACAAATTATAAACATCTTTATGCCAAAGCATTTCCTCTTGCTTGGTATATACTGCTTGAATGAGTCTTCCTTTGAACAAAATCAGACTCATCAATAACAAGCTTCCTGAAGGGATAAAAATACATATTGAATTTCTGTTTTTAAGATACATAAACACATTTCTAATCTTATATAACCTATCTTTTCTGTCAGGCTGGTTTTGTCTAAGAAGTGTAGCATACATAACAGTAGCACAAATCGATTGACTGGTATTATATCACTGAAAGCTGGGGTTGCAATGAGGTAGTCTGTTGACCAGCATGATTTGACACTGTGCTTATATACAAGGGGCATAAGCCTTATTGTGGCAAACAAAAGATACATCTCAGCCACAGTTGTCTCCTTCCACTGGTGTAGCCGTGATCTTGGTGAAAGAACTGTGTTTGCCATGGTGTAATCAAAGTATGCATCGCTTTCCCTGACAATCATTTCCATTAAGGGTTTGTCAAAGAATAACTCATAACATTCCAGTTCAGTGGTATTGTTCCCAAGTGTGCAAGATGGCCATAGTCCACTTTGACTTTCATTAAAGTGATGGGGATTGGGAACAAAATTGGCAGCTTCCTGCCAATCCCAGGTGCTGTCTGCTGGTGGATACTGGCAAGTGGCTGTGGAGGTTGTGGTTGTGGAGGTTGTGGTTGTGGAGGTTGTGGTTGTTTAGGTTGGTGTGGTGGATGGGTAGGTGAGGGTGGTCTTTGTTGTAGCTGAGCTGACTCAGTGGCATGAGTACCAGCATGGGCTGCTGCTGGTGCCTCATGGCTGGCACCACCACCACCACCTTCTAACACATGCATATTTTTGATCCCCAATGTAACAATATCATCTTCATTTTCACTATCTGTTCCTGTTGTATGGCTATGTGATGTACTCTGAGATGTACTGCTTACCCTTGGAACAGCATATGGCACACTACCAGAGTGCAAGTAGCATCATATATACTGACTGTTCACTGGAGAATATTCCACTTCATTCTCGCTACTAGAACTGTTTTCAACAGCTTGGAGATAATATTCACTATCACTATCATCACCACCTCTCACATCTGAGCCCTGGACATGGGAAAATACGAGTTTCCTCTTTCGTTCTGGTACAACTGAATGTGAACAAGACGGCCAGGCACAAGAGGTTGAAGGTTGAGGATCGTCTGGGTTTTCCTCACTATTACTGGTAGGGAAGTGTCCTTGGCCCTCTTCTCTTTCTCCTATACATAAATGACCTTCCAAATGCTTCGCAATTACTCAAACCCACACTATTTGCAGATGACACTACATACGTCTTCTCTCACCCGAGCCCAGTCACGCTAGCCAATACTGTAAATACCGAATTACAGAAAATATCTCCGGTGAGGGTAACAAAATTACACTAA